CCAAATTTATGCTCTCAAGTTCATACAGGCGGGTGATGTTGATCATTTAGCTGCCGGATTTCTTTTATGTCATAACATTTCTCATGGAATCAATTTGCGGAAGACCCCTGTACTGCATTATCTTTACTACCTTGCTCAGGTACTTCTCATTACCTTTACCTCATTAACTGATTTATGCCAGTGAGCTTTGTTTAGATCTATTTTTGAATTACTTGCAATTAGATGACATTACTAAATCATTTAGGGTGGTCTAAGGAAGATTGTATTACACATGCGTACAGTGGAAGGGCTGTAATGACCTATTGGGTGCTTGTTGAAGTTTATGAAACATTGCTAATATGATTAATTTCAAAATATAGAGGGTGTAAAAGAGGGATTCACACACTGGAATGAGAACCATCATGAGGAAAAAGGATAAGAAAAACGTACGGGCAACTTAACGTACTAGTATTTTATACAAGCTGTCAATCGAGGTGTCAAATTATAAAGAGTAAGCAAGTTTATCCATAGACTTGAAAAAGAAAATGTTTCTCTAGAATAGCTCCCAACTGTTCTTGCTGTATTGCATGTCCACTTTGTTGCACATTCACCAGCAGTTTTGCATCTAGCTTTGGCCTGGGACCTTTCTTCATCTTATTTCTCTACTTTCTTGAACAAATCTAATAATTTTTTTTTATTGATATACACTAAGATAGCGGTATGAGGGTCTTTCGGAAACAACCTCTCTACCTCCACGAGGTAGTGGCAAGGTCTGCGTACACTCTACCCTCCCCAGACCCCACCTAGTGGGATTTCACTGGGTATGTTGTTGTTACTAAGGTAGCGGTAGGTGTGCAATTCAACTACATTTTATTTATTCAATATGCAGCGTGTTTTATATGTACAATTAACTTCCCATAAATTTGGTCCATCTGACGATTTGATTCATTATCATGTTACATTTGTAATGTTGAGCTATGCAGAGATGCAATCATATTTTACTACTCCCCCTCCCCCCCTTTTTTTTTCCCATTCCCCTGTCTATTCACTTTATTGTCACTGTTTCTGTAAAATTATTCAGGTTGGACTGGCAATGTCTCCCCTGAGCAATAATTCACTTTTCCTTGACTATAATCGGAATCCATTCCTTATGTTCTTCCACCGTGGCATGAACGTCTCACTCTCTACTGATGATCCCTTGCAAATCCACTTGACAAAAGAGCCCCTTGTGGAAGAATACAGTGTTGCAGCTAAGGTCAGTCCATTTTTTTTTTCCAATCAGTAAAATATCAACATGTCCTTAACCAACTTATATTTTTCAGGTATGGAAGCTGAGTTCTTGTGACCTTTGTGAGATAGCTAGGAATTCAGTCTATCAGTCAGGATTCAATCATGCAGACAAGGTGATCGATTACAGCATTCATGCCAAATTTATATGCAACTCTCTTAGAAATCTTTTGTGTGGCCTAATTACTGTTTCTTTGGTTGAAAAATCACAAATTTACTGCTAATTATAACTTTATAGCCGTGGTTTCTCATAATTCTGGTTCTTGAACTTCGTTGTTTGTGAACTTCTACAGTGGTATTGATGACTTCATTTTGTTTCCACTTTTGTCTAATTTCATATCTCTGAGAAACTTGTATTTTATTTACCTAGCCCGGAAGTTGACGGTGATTGAAATTCAAGTAACATAGGTTTAGAGGTTAATGGAAGTGCTTGAGATGCAACTTACTGCATCCTTACATATGATGATGAGAAGGAGGTTTAGCTTATTCATGGTTAAAGGGGTATTCTGTTGAGCAGTTAGTAACCCTAATTCTAATTTTACTTCCTATGGTAAATGTTGCAGAGACATTGGCTTGGCAATAAATACTACAAGAGAGGCCCTCAAGGAAACGATATTCACAAATCAAATGTACCCAATACGAGGATTTCCTTCAGACATGAGGTAAGCTTTGCTTGTGCTCCCTTTTATCTTTTATCCTGCTAGGATGATAACTTGCAAGATGTTAATGTTGTTGGAACTCTGAAAGTTACTCGTAGAAAATCTATAAAATGACGTCTGATATACTGCAGACATGGAAGGAAGAGATGCAGTATGTTTACAGAGGAAAAACAATCCTTCCTGAAGATGTAGAACATTGATCAAAATGGCATCAACAATCTGTATCCTCACTGGGGAAACATCATGATTCAGGTACCATCCTTGTTTTTCACTAATTGTTCCCAAAAAGAATGACGAGTAGTGTGTTGACGTTGCTCACTGTTATCATTTGCTTGCACAGATATCCAGATATAAGGCTCCTGAAGTGGCGAGGTTTAAGAACAGAGTTAAATATTGCTGGTTAATTTATGCCTCGGTGGAAGCATGTTTGTTTTTACAGGTCTGCTCACCATCATGGTGCAAATTTAGTGCCTTCATTTCTAGTTGTACTAAATCTTCACTTGGTGGAGGTTTAGGCAAAATCATAAGAATGTAACTGGCTCATTGCTGCAATATTCTTGTAGTAATAACACCAGGTTTATACTAGCTGAAGCAACCTTTATCCAATAATGTCTTGTTGAACCATTATGCTTTTTATTCTCTTTCATTGTAGTATTTAGCATCCACATTGCGTTAATGTGAGTTGCAATTCCAGAGTAAGTAGTGTTAGAAGTTGGAATTTTCACTAATTAAAAAAAGTATGAAAAAAGAAAACTAAGTCGAAAAAATTTTGTAAAGACAACACATCATTTTAAAAAAAGACAATACCATAGCTAGGATACATCTCTAGAATATCTATCCTTTTTCCTTTCATTAACATCTACCAAGAAATTAATGTCTGTGTACAAAGCACCAAAAAAAGAGTTAGTTCCAAAAAGAAAATATACTGTGATTAACCGGTTAAAAAAATGAAAGAATCATTGACGAGAGGCTAAAAACAGGTGATGAAAAAAAAAAGAATGGGATTATTTTTGGTTTACTGAAAAAACATAGGTTTTTAAACCTAAATTAAATAATTTAAAAAAAAACAAGTGTTGGAGGATCATATATATATATATATTCACGTAGCACTACTTTGAACATGATTAGTGCTTATGCGTTGCAAGTGGATTTAGAGGAGGAGTTAAAAAACGCCTCTAGGAGGATTTGGACGAGGTGGTGAGGAATATACCACATTTCGAGAAGCTATTCATTGCCAGAAATTTCAATGATCACATTGTGTCAATCACTAGTGATTTTGATAGTGTGCATCAAGGTTTAGATTTTGGGGTTAGGAGTGGAGGAGCAGCGTCACTTCTAGATTTTGCTAAAGTTGTTGAGTTGGTTATAACAAATTCATGCTTTCCAAAAGAAAAAGAGGACAACTTGATTATCTTTATAGCGCGTGGTCAGAACTCATATTGATTGCTTACTCATTTTGAAGGGTGATATAGGTCTTTGTAAGGAACGTAAGACTATCCTAAGTGGGAATCTTACTATTCAACATAAACAGGTGGTGGACATGGGAATTAAGAGGGAGGGGAAGAAGAAGACGTTGTATGACCGATCGAGGATCAAATGGGTGGCTTGACCCCTGAACCTGGAAATGGGAGAGAAGTTAGAGGCGATTGAGACTTAGGGAAGTAGTGGAGACTCTAAACACTTTCCAGTCAAGATGAGGTTGCACCAAGGATCTACGTTGAGCCTGTATCAATTTGCCTTTGTGATGAATAAATTGACATGGCACATTAAGGGTGAGGTGCCTTGGTTTTTGTTATTTGCATATGACATTGTTTTGATTAAAGAGACTCGCAAAGAGTTAACGACAAATTGTAGGTGTAGAGATAAAATATTTGAAGTGTAAATCTAATGATGTGACACATGAGACATGCATAAAGTGAAATTTGATACTCAAATTATCACCAAGAGAGAGATATTTAAGTATCCCGGATCTTTGATCCAAGGTAATGGGGAGATCTATGATGATGTCATATTGATGCGGTATGAATGAAGTAGAAGCTTGCTTCTGGAGTCTTGTGTGAAAATAAGGTACCACTAAAACTTGAAACTAAGTTTTATAGAGTGGTGGTTAGACGACTTTGTTGGTGAAGTGAAGTGCTGACCAATCAAGAACTCCAAGTTCAAAAAATGCAAGTGGCAAAATGAGGATGTTGAGATGGATGTGCAGGCATACTAGGAATGAGAGGATCTGGAACGAAGTGTGAGTGAATGTCGTGTTGGACACAATGAGGAAGGAAGACTAAGATAGTTTGAACATGTGAAAAGCAAATGTGCAAATGCCTCAGTAAAGAGGTTGGATATAGGGGGATTGATAAAACTAGAGGTATGCCGAAGAAGTATTGAGGAGATGTGATTAGGCAGGATATGCCACATCTTCAATTTATCGAGGACATAACCTTATATATGAGGATATGAAGGTTGTCAATAAGGGTAAAAGGTTAGTACGTAGTTGAGAGTTGTCTTATTACTAGCCCATGCATGTCTTTGACTGGGTGGAAGTATAGAACTACATGTCGGTCGTAGTATCAACATATACATATAGTGTTTGACTTTTGGTATTTGATTTCATCTGTGGTTTATTGTATTTTGGTGACCACACTTTGTTGTTGTTGTTGTTGTGGTTCCTTACATATTTGCTTCGTACTACTTTGCTATTAGCTATTATGTTTTTCCTTTAGTTACTTGAATCGAGGTCTTTCAAAAACAACTTCTCTATCTCATTTAGGTAGTGGTAAGACCTGCATATACTCTAGCTTTCTCAAACCCCACTTTATGAGATTTTATTGAGTATGTTATTATTGTATACAATATCATATTTGTTCAATTTTTAGACGAGCTGCAATAAGTTGGACTAAGCTAATAAGTAAACAGATTAATGACCCATTCAAACTTAAATCTATTAGACGAACTATATTTTTATGGGCTAATTTTACCGTCCGCGTTGTTTTGGCCCATTTTCATTTTATTCCTACCAAAAAAATAAATAAATCTTTTTGTTACTTCGAGGAAAGTGGAAAAACCAGTCCACTCTGTCAAGAACCCCAATTCCTCTCCTTAAACTCCAAGTCTTCCCGCCGCTTCACTTCACTTCACTTCTCAAACCCTCCACAACACCACCGTTCACGGCGGCGGCATAATCCCTTCAGTTTATCCTCTTCCTCCTTTCCTCCGCTCTAATCTCATCTTCCGATGGAGGCCACGGCGGCGTCTGAAACCTCCGATGGACCTGTCTTGAACGTGATCAACAAGCGCATCCGTGCCCTCCGCAAGAAACACAACCGCATTCTCCAGATGGAAGAATCTCTCGCTAATGGAAAAACCCTTAACAAGGAGCAAGAAGAAACTTTCCGCTCAAAAACCAGCGTTGTTGCTGCCATAGACGAGCTCGAGAAGCTTCGTCAGCCACTAGCTGCTGCTGTAACGGAAGAAATCAACCTTGCTACTCAACACCATCTCGTTTCTGCTGCGGATTCCCCAGATGAGAAATTAGCTGGAAAAGACGATAACAGTTGTGTTGAGGTTGAGGATTTGCTTAACATTATTTATTTTGGTAGCATGTTTGCTCATGCGAATTGGGGGAAAAATGATTTTGTTTCAACTATGTGGAAAAGGGCTATGCATGAGAGGGCTTGTTGTTTGAACTATGATTGCATGCCGGAAGATGAGTCGACGGATGTGATGGATATGTTGTCGGAGAAGGATTTGGATTTGATCTCCATGCTTAGTGAGCTACTCATTTGTCGTCCTGTTAACTCTACTTTGTCGCACAAGCACGCCCTTCAAGCTTGCTTTGAGCATGCCAAGCTGTGGATAACAAAGTCTGATCAGCACATTGCACCAGAATCAGATGCTACTTGTGAGTGCAAAGTTTACTCCTTTCGTCCCATTTTATATGTTGTTGTTACTGTTTTCGTAAATACTTTGACTTGCTGCACTTGAGCTGTGCCTCTCTATGTCCACGAGGTAGGAGGTAGGGTAAGGTTTGCGTATGCCCTACACTCTCTAGAGTCCAAACTCCACTTGTAGGATTACACTAGGTATGTTGTTGTTATTTATGAGTGAAAGGATAGCTTGATAGTGAAAAAGTTTAATACTTCATCAAAGTTTTGAACTTCTTATCAGTTTACAATAATATATTTGTATTCTTGAAAGTTGTATAGAAATGAGATAATGTGAGTCATTTTGGAACATGAAAACGAATGTGGTATAGATTGAAAAGGAGGGAGTATACTAATAGCAATATCCCCTTTTTAGTTAAGATTGAGGTGATCGTTTGTAGATACTTATATTTTTGTTTCGTTGCAGATGCTGGTTTGAGATCCAAGTTGAACAAGATCATGTCTTCGTTGTATTTTACAACAGAACCTGTTTTTCGAGTGGAACAGGCTGTTGCTGAGTATGAGTCTTATCAGGTGCCAGTAGAAGAGACGGGTTTGCCTGTCAATGCAACTGGGCAGGTGGAGAGTCCAGTTGAGCGCTATCAAGAGAAGGTACTTGCTACTTTGGGCTACCTCTAAGATAGAATATCCAAGAAGTTGTAACTTGTTGACTTTTTCGATGATTACTCATGTTTGCTTTTGCTATTTCCCTATAGTATTATAGTAAACATAGCAGTTAGGTATTTGTTGAATTAGGCCCTATACTGATTCTGCTTACTCCGAAACACACTTCAGATCAATGCTAAAATTTGTACTTCAAAAGCCCAAACCTTCACTTCTTTTTGGTTTGTGGAAATAGAATATACTTTTATGTGGCTTTATTTAGGTCAATCTTTTGACTGGTCAGGTTTTTGGGACCTGATCCTTGCTATTAGATTGCGTGCTTCTCCCCTTTTTGGTTTTATTTGGGGTTGGGATTTAGGACTTATACCTTAACAGAACACACCTTCCCTTTATTTTGCTAAAATAATGGTTGTTTGTGTTATTATTTGTGTGATAAAGAGTTCATGAACTTTATTGGTGAGTGGTGTGGATTTTTCTGCTGAACTTTATTGTGTGTGAAAAATTGAGGCTTTTGTTAGTTTAGATACCAAGAGCACTATCTTGAACAATAATAGATATCTAGTGAAATAAAAATGATTACTGTAGTTACTAATTAGAAGTGATTATTAAACACTATTTTTGTTAAGTATAGGAATTATTTGATACCATCAACTAAACCAAATAACCCAGTGTATTAACAAAAGGTAGCCATATTTTCGGGGTGACATGGACGAGGGTTGTAAATGACTGGGTTGGTAGCTCGGACTGCATTTGGTAAGATATATAATGTATTTTCATGCAAGATGCTTTTGTGGAAAATGTTCCATTTTTTGTTCTAGATCGGTTTTGGTGTTTGGCTGTGTATAAAGGTAAGTCTTAAGGCTTGTGAGTGGTGTCTTGGTGATAATTGTATCAACATTCTTAATGGATCATAGCAAATGACATGGATTAAGAGTGAAGTTGGTAGAAGAGGAAAATGAATTATGTCCTACAATGACGCAAGTCATATCTGCTCCAGTTTTGGATTCTAGCTTAAATAAATTAGGTGAGCATATCTGCTCCAGCCATGTGGGTTTACCAATTATGGACTAATTGAATTTTTCCTTTTGGTTTATGTGCTACTCTCTTTGCCCTAAATTAACTATCCTACACCCTGATGTGTTGTCTTCATATCTGTATACCCTTTCTATATTCCCTTTAATAATTTTAGAATAGGAGTTAATAGTATTCTAAGGCTTGTTTCGAGATCCTCTGGGGTGGTTCGGGTTATCACATTTTTCTTCTGTCATTAGGAAACATTGTAGTTATTTGTTGCAAAGGGGGGAAATTAGTACATTACCGAGGTTGTAGAAGGGACCAAATGAAAATTTGTGGTTCGATTCCCACAAGTGCGTTACAAAATAAGATCTAGATAAAAGCATGCAAATGCATGAAATGATGAGAAAATAGGATTCCAGATAAACAATGGATGCATTCCTGTTCTAAAGAAGGATGATACCCACTATGCACAATTTCTATTATCCGGACACATCATAAACTTGGGAAGTCCTCAATAAGACAACTCTAAAGTTTCATAAATAGATAAATTGCTCATAAGTTGAACCTAAAGTTGCTTCAAGTATGCTCGCTTTTTGCTAAAATCAATCTATATATTTGTAAGAGAGTAAATCCTAGTGTCTTCTTATAATGTGGAGTCTGGATCAGCTTGTAAGCACTTCAACTATTCCATCAGGCACCGATACCTGGTACCTCCTACTAATTGAGAAGAATCATCTAGTGTTTTCTTGCCTCCACTTGGATTTGACCTTGGACCTCATGATTCTTCTCCCTAGTGGCGAAGTAAAAAAATTCATTAAGGGTGTTACATAATATAATTTTTCGACCAAGGTTGTTTGACTGGCCACCTGAGTGTTGTCACTACATGTGGCTACGCCACTGCTTTTCCCACATCATCAACTACTAGACCAAACCCTTGGGTTGCAAGTGATCAGAGTATTTCATGAGAAGGAAACAAAAACTTATTTACATTCACTGCTGAGAATGCTTTTCTTTTTCCTGCCTCCTTAATTGGTGTTCCTTTATAAAAGATATAAGTTAGTTGTTTATTATCTTCTGCTGTGATCAATCTTTCTAACCCAACAAGACACCAAAGGCTGTCTGTGAGACTTCCCTGTTCCTTCTTCATCTTTATCTAGGCCAAAACACATTTTGAGTTTCAGCTAGTATGTATTTTTCTTTCCTTTTCTTTCTCTTTCTTGCTTTAATAATTTGTTGGGAATATTAGAATATGCTTGGTGTTTTGATATATGTGGGCAATTAGCTTTATTTAGGAATTTGCCTTTTGGGTTCTCGTGAAACAGTGAATTCGGGATTCTGGATTGTATTATTCTGAGATCTTTCCTTCTTTTTGAGTTTCTTAGAAAGAAGCTATCCCTTTTCTACATTTCTTGGTTCTCAACTTTTGGAGAAGGGTCATTTTCTTGTTTCTATTTTGTTTAATTGGCCTTTAAATTTGGCCCCTTTGGAGTTCTTCTCAAATTTATCAAGAAAGTGTGGATTTTTGATGCAAATCCTGAAGCAACCTGAACTTGGTTTGAAGTTTATTTTGTCTCTCTTTCTAGACAATTAGCTTATCCTCTTTGCATTTGTTTTTGGAATACAGTTCCTGAAGTGATTACAACTTAAGCTATAGTTTAACTAGCTGCATTTGCTGGGATCTGTTTCTGATTAGCTGCAATAAGGTTTAAGGTTGTGGATCTCTCATGCACACACACATGCGTGCGCACGCACCGAGACAAATGTCTTTGATCATTGATAGATACATTCCTTTGTTTTTAGTTCAGTTTCACCTTCTTTAATCATTTCCCTGAAGTGTAATACTCTATTTTGAATTGAATGATGTTGTGCCTTGATCCCCCCCCTCTCCTCCTTAAACAAATAACAAAACTAAATAAACAAACTTGTGTTTTTTGTTATTCCATTTCTGTTACTATTTAGTGTTTCTTGCACTTCGACTATCATATTATTCTGTTGTAGGGACTGTTCCTTTTTTTAGTATGCTTTGTCATGCTTTCTTCAGCATTTTGTCTTGTCTTCTCTCCTATTGTTTTCTCTTTTCGAAATGCTTTTACTTGAGCTGAGAGTCTATCGGAAACAACCTCTCTATCATCCAAGGTAGAGGTAAGGACTGCACAAACACTACCCTCCCTAGATCCCACTTGTGGAATTGACACTGGTATGCTGTTGTTGTTTGTTGTTTACTATCTTCTCTGAAAACACTGATTTCACCATCTGCAAAAAGTAAGAAAAGCTTATTAACCGTCAATGCTGAATATTCTATCTTTACCAGCTTCTTTTTGAAGGTTTATTTGTATGAGGTAGAAGGTAAACTACACATTGTCTCTTCTCCAAACCACTTCACCATCAGAGAAGAATAATGTATCGACTCTTGACCATCTTTTGGGCAGCACTATCTGAAAACAGAATATTATAGTCTTTCCCCATGTGTTTGGAGAAAATTTTGATGTCTTATGTTGTTTTTCATGTATTCACTACATCTGATGTATTAATGTGTAAATGCTAGAATTTAATCAATAGTTGTGCTTTTAATTTCTTGTCTTGAAATATGATGGGACACTTGTGTGTTTTAGTAATGGTAGTAACTCGTCAATTGACTATGCATAGGTACACATTTTTAGCACTTCTTTTCTGTTTTTTCTTGTCATTTTAGAAGTCCTAGCTGTAGCTTATGTTCCTGCATAATCCAACTTCAAATATTTATTTGTTTCCCAGGAAGGGGAACATGTAAATTCTCAAGCTGATAAATCTAGCGAAATTCACGATAGCTCTGCAAAAGATCTCCCCCAGGTATGCATGTGTACTTCTTGGAGAATGCTTTCGCAAGTTGAATGTTGTTATTCACAAGATACCCTAAAAGGCTATAAATGTTAATTTTTTCCAATATAAAAATTACTTTGATGGGGAACAGGAGGAGAACTTGTCCGAGCAACGTGCTGAACCAGAAGAAGTTGGACATGAGGGAGAAGGTGTTGAGGATCCGAAGGATGCAAATGTTGATAATCAACAATCGGTTCCCCGGAGGTCCAATCAGCATTTCAGGGGTAATCGTGGTGGAGGCCGTCGTGGATACAACAATGGCCGTGGAGGCCGTGGCAGAGGACGGTCTTACTATGATGACCACAACCCATACTATGATCAACCTGGTAATTATTACCCCAGGAATTATCCTAATTATCGGGGAAGGGGTGGTAGGGGTAGCCGTGGTGATGGGAATTATAGCCACTATGCTTCAGGTGATCAAGCTGGAAATGTCCCCGCTTTTTCATGATTGTTTTGGTGAAGCATATGCTATTCCTTTTTTGTTGGAAGGTGATAACGCTATTTCCCGGTTAACCTGAAGCACTAAATGTGTCAACTGTTTTGCTTGTGTTAAGTCTTACCAGAAGAGCATTAAAAAAAGGGTCAAGTGTAGTGTCTTTTTTGAACTTTACAACTTGTTGATCAATTTTGAGTCTTCATTACTAGTTTGATCTCAAGTGAAATTGTATGATAATGTCTGCTATATTCTGAGTGAGTAAAACCTGCCTGCTGTTATATAACATTCAGAAGGCTGATTTATGCAGATGTGCCTGTTTTAAGGCATCCACCTAGATTGTATCCCTATTTTTAAACATTGTCCAAATATATCATTTGGGAAATTATTCTCCCAGACAATGTTCGACTTGGTCTAGTGTTTGCTCATATATTGCTCAACCTTTTTTTATGACCACGGTGTTTCGGCCAGTTTTCGTGCACCTTGACTAATTTCACGAGATACATGCCTCTCACTAGAACCAGGTACAAGGTAACTTTGTCCACCAAGACTAGGACAAATGGAAAGCATCCCTTAGTGTTTTTTTTTTGTCTTCGTGGAGTTTTGAACTTGAGACCTTAAGGGTTCTGAACCACTTCATTGACTATTAGGTCGCATCCTTGGGTCATATATTGCTTAACCTTACAGACAATGCTGTTTAATTTTTCCAATCATGATTTGATGTTTATTCATAAATTTTTAGTTTTTGCTGAAAAGGAATCTTTAGGTCGTGGTCTAATAGATCTAATAGATGTATGTATTGCAAGAAAAATAAAGAGTATTTTGGAATGGAATGGTGCATATATTTGCTTTTGAAATAGTAGTGCCTCAATTTGCTATTTGGGTAAAATATTAAAATCATATACAAGTATGTGCGATATCGTGTTCTAAATTTTATTTGAGTTTCTAAATTGATGTTTTTGAAAGTATTGAAAACTAACTGAATTATATCAATATCGAAGAAAATCAAGATGATAGGATGATTTTAAATTATAACTTTGATTATTCAAAATAGAATAATTCAAAAAATTTCATTACATAAATTTTATAAAATAATCGATCAAATCGTAACACTCCTTTGCCATGTCTTGACGAGCAACGTCAAAGGAATTAAGACATTTAGCCCATATAAAATGAGAGATGCTATACATAATAGCAATAATATATTCAATGTAGTTTGACAAAAACGAGGTTTCATTTAACCCACTCTAGTTTAATACAATGTGTAATATCTTCGTCAATCTCATCATTACCTTCAATGATAGATCTAAGGTACTTAAAACTTCCTCAAAATGACTTATATATCAAACATCACTTTCACATTTATCTTAAAACTTACACTCTAAATATTCTATTTTAATTATGCTTACCAATATTTGGATATGCAATAATAATTTGGCCTACGAAGATCTTGATAGATGAAAAAAGATTTTGTTTTAAATCGATTTTAAATCATAAATCTCTCATAATTTTCACTCACTTATTAAATCACTATGCCACCCATTTGATGCACTTCAAAATATATTATTCCTTTTTGCTTTTCGATAATCAAGCATAATTATTTATATTTAGTCAATAAAGTGTATCAATTTACTTAAGAAGTCAACTTAATTTTATATATATATATATATATATTTTATAATGGTGTTGGGAATATATATAAAATGGTTAATTATATTGATAGAGAATAAACCATCACTTTAAAATTTGAATAGTTTAATAAATTTAAAAGTCATGAATGGTGCATAAAAGTAAGATGTATCAAACATCATCATATCTTTAAAATAAAGAAACTATGATGATAAATTTTAATGATACCTACTCCATCCTTAATCAGAGGTCACGAGTTTGAGTTTTGAATATGAAAAAAATCATGTTGAAAGTGTCAACCTTAGAATAAACCTTATAGTGAAAGATTCGAATTCAGTCAGCACTCCAAAACAAATATCGAAAATGGAATATGAAAAAAAAATAAAAAAATAGAAAGCGGATGTTTTTTTTTCTCAAAAGGATGAGACAGGAACAAAAAAGTCGTGCTAGATAGCCGCATATAATGAATGATAATTAAAATTCAGCCGCAAAAGTATTTTTTACTGTGGGAGCATCCTACTTTTTATCTTGTCTTGATTATAAAGATTATTTTTAGGTGTTTAATTGTTATTTTTTTTTACAAATAAAGAGGAATATTACTTAAAAGAAAATTAGGTAAAATGTTCATTGAGTCAAAATTTCTTACACAAATAACTTAATTATCATTAAATATTACATAAAATGGTCATTCGACCAATTTTAATAACTTCTTCCCTTCCATCCTTCTTCTTCCTTGTTTGTTTACTGCTTTCCTTCTTCCTTCCTCCTCCTCCTTTCATGTTCAAAGCTCGATTTTAAAATTTGATCTACCGTAAATATGAATTGTTTTGAGTGAATAATATATTAAAAGATCCAAAATATTGATATGAGCTCATATTGAAATTTTAAGATGGTTTAGAGGATGATTTAGTTGGTTGGGATAGAAAAAATTGGTCCGCAATGTATATTTTATTGTATCAACAATGTATATAGATGTATATTCATCTTCGATACATAGTTATACATTATTTATATGATAATGATATATATATATATAGTCCTAGGATAGAGACATAGGGTTAGAGGGTTTAACTGAACCTGTTTCATCAATATTTTTTTTTTAATATTTCATAAATGGAAAAAAATTTACGTTTTATTCTTAACATTAATTACTTATTTCCCAAATTATTTTCAAGATGTAATACTAAACATCAATTAATATGGATCGTATGATAAATAATAATTATTTTCTTAATGTATGTGTCCAATCCAAATATAACAAATAAAAATGAACGGAGAAAGTAATTGTTTGGTTCAAATTAATAATCAAGAAAAAAAAGTATATATTCAAAGAAAATGATGCTTCATATGGCATATGGGGAACAAATAACAGATAATTGATTTGAAATTTATTCATTTGCTTTAAATTGATTGTTCATACTTCATTAGTTTATATTATTCTGTTTTAAATACATATATCCATTTTCTTCAAAAGTTTCACATATTATAAGCCACAAACATAAAGTAGGAAAATAAAGGATTTTTTTTTTTTTTTGAATATATAGATTTATAAATGAGATAATTTTTAGCTCGAATTGTGGAATTACTAGAGAAAAACATTAGAATAAATAAAAGAAATATTTGTTAATTTAACTATGGTTATAATCTTATTTTGGATAGTTAAGATTTTACATTTAATTTGTAATTATGACACTTGTCTCTTTTTCAAGTTGGAATTTGAGAAAATGGAGAGGAGTCATGATATAATATTGTGTATTATTCATATGTTAAAAATGTAGAGGGTGAATTAAGACAGGATTTTTATTTAATGGATTTCAAATCACAATTTTTTTTACATACTAATTTCTAAGTAGATTATTTGTAGATAATTTTTAACACAAATACATAACTTGCACAATTTAGGTTCTGTCGAATTTATTACCACCATAACTTCGCTCTCTGATTGTAAAATTTCTGAAGCTTATAATCTAAATATATTATAACATTTAAATGAATATAAAACAAATCATTAAGAGTAAAATGAAATTTTCTACATAAAAATTATTTCTAAATTTTAAAATGAGTTATTCTTTTCCAAATTAAACAAATTTAAAAAATATGCTGACATAAATTAAAGCATATGGGATAGGGAATAACTTACCCTTTATGCACTTAAATTCATAATTTATAATAATAATAATATGCCTTAGCTCAAAAGAAGTGTAATAAATTATATCTAGGGATGGTGTGATATTCAAAATTCATGTCAATTTAAAATAATAAATTAAAACGGAGGAGTATATAATAGTATTTCTTTTGTGAAATATTCATCACCACAAACATCTTAGTTGTACCTACGAAAAGGACAGAAAGTGTCACACTTCAATTAGATTCTCCTTTTTTTTTTTTGCTGTTTGGTGTTCGATATTTATATTAGAGTTCGACTAGATTCAAATTTGCGCCAAAAAATCCTACATTAGAGGGTAAAACTCTTTCTAACAAAGACAATTCCTTATCCAAAGAAACTCGAACCCAATACCTCTGATTAAAAAATGAAGGAATACTTATTGCTCCACCACAATGCATGAACATATTGAGTTGTAAATGAACCACACACTTTCTTGTGGGAATTAAAATTCCATATGTTAACATCATTTGAAGTATAGTTTCCATTTGGCTAGAGAATGTTTTCTAGGCATCTTTGTGTTTGTGCACAAGGACAATTACATAATTTAAGAAGAAAACTTTATAGCTATACCTCAATGGATCTCGTTATTTCGTTTTCTCATATATGAAAACATTTTATAATTGCGGTCAGACTCAAATTCGGAACTTCTAATTAATTACTCTCTTTATATATTAGTATGCATCAATTTAGATGAATCTTTTATTTAAGGTTGTCTTTATTTAATTAGGTTGTCAACAATTCCTATCTGATTGTGTTTGAATGAATAAGATGAGTAACCTAGATACTCCGCGAATTATTATATTTATCTTTAATTAAAACATGTTGTTGCTTTTTAATCATTATTGTGAAGAGGCACACTTCGATACCAATATTGATGTCCAATAGTTTTGTAGTATTAGTTGAATTTAACTATTACATCGTCCATTGAGTATAACAGAGCAAATAATAATATTTCTAATTATTTGATGCTAGCCAGGGTGGTAAATTAGCTAGATGTTCCTTTCAACAGTAGAAATTGGTTTCATATCCAATAAATTCAATTTTTAAAGAGCATAGCTTCCCATGATCAAATAGGAATAAAAAATTTCATCTTCTCCTACGAAATGGTATCCAACTTTTTAATTAGGCAGAATATATAGATAGACATTTAAATTTGACATTAACTATTAATCGAATATTTTAACTTATCAAATAATCATCTAACCATTTTAATTCATTTTTACTGTGTCACGTAGATATTCGATACTGACATATTTGAGCATTTTGACGTTAACAACTCATCCATGTCATTACTTGTTAACTGAAATGACATAGATGAGCCAAACTTTTTACGGATAATATAGATGAGCCTTTTCTCAAAGCTCGATGACATATTGAGCCTTTTCCCTTTACAAAATGCTACAATTAATGACGTGACCGAATCATAATTGATCACGTATAAAAAATGATTTTGCAAAACGAAACTGTTTTCAATTAGCAAATAATGACACAATGAGCCTTTTCTCAAACGAAAATGGTATAGATGAGCCAAACTTTTAATGGATGACTTAAATGAGCCTTTTCTCAAAGTTCGATGACGTACATATTTGAGCCTTTTCCAATTTTTCAACTTTGACATGTCACCTAGGATTGAAATTTCATGTGAGGTTTACGGGAATCGGGTGTTCATGATATATACATGTGGTAAGTTAAAGTGTCTAGATGATCATTAGATAAGTTGGAAAGTTCAACTAACAACGAAGATGAAATTTGAATGTCCAAAGTTTAACAATATCGGAGTCAGACTCATGCAGTACGATGTTGGGGCAAACCTTAATGAGGATACTGAATTCCTAAAGAAGGGCGTTTGTGATACCCATGATAGAGGACAAGCTGATGAAGGTGGGCCAAAGAGAAAGACCAAAGGCTTCTAGGTTGGGAAGCTTCAAAAAAAGGTATACACATCACACCTTAACCAAATCTCACATTTAAATATGAGAGAAAATAAAAGTGCTTATATAAGACAAAACACAAGTTCACACGATATGCGTTTTTGAGCTTGATGATGGCGTAACCCAATAAGAAGCAAATCCATTATATTTATTGGGCCAAAGCAGAGAATATGTGTAATGGTTTTTGGGTTGTGACACTTTATAGAGTAACAATCTTTATTATATGATTGAGGACTCATTAGACTAAAGTGGTAATACTTTGACAAATCTTTCCTCATAAACTAACTTTTGGGGTTGAGTTTGGCCCATGTATCATATCTTCACATGGTATCAGAGCCAGACCCATCTCAATTTGTTGTTCACAGATGTTGAGCCCCTATTTATAAGTGTTCACGCTCCTGTTGAGGCCAGAGCGTGTGAGGGAGTGTTAAGAAGTCTCACATCATGAATGGAAAATTGGTCTCTTTATATGGACTTGGTCAACCCCCCCCTCATGAACTAGCTTTTGTGGTTGAATTAGATCCGTATGTCGTATCTTCAAATCCCTACACATGAAATATTAGCCTAAAACACCAATACCAAAACCTAAGCAAAATAGCATCAAATCTCTCTTTGTATAATGAAATGGTCGACATGATGAACATATTCTATAACTAGTTTAAGTTGTTTTAAAATTTGAAAAAGCAAAACAGTTTAGTACATCAACAACCAATATTATAAGGGTCCAAGTAAAACTCTTAATTCCAATATCAAGCCAAAGAAAATCTTTCAGAAACTAAGAAAAAACAAAAACCTTTTACTCTAGAAAACTAAAAGAAAAATGGGTGCTAACTACTCAATTGCATTGCATGAAGCTCATAATATGCCAATCACACCACAATTCAAGAGGTCTCAAGTCATTGCTTTCCACTCTTCAACAAAATGGAAGCTCCATTTTGATTCTTTGAAAAATACAAACAAATTGGTAACCATTTTAAACTATCTTTCTATTTTAATCTGGTTGATTGTAAATAGTTGATAAGTTAATAATCAGTTACGCGTTTAGATGAAAGTATTGAAACTGTTACTAAACACATGATGATGTGTTTGGTAAAACATGTTGATAAGTTGTTATTTTGTAAGAATGACTAAAATATCCTTTAAAATTTACAATAAATTATAAAATTAAAGTATCCATGTAAGATATTTTGAGAATCTTAAAAATATAAGGATAAAAATATTTGGTCAAACTAAAAATGCTTATATTATAAGCTGAAAAGTCATAAGTTGAGAATGATCAATTTATGGATTTTGACTTATAAAGTGTTTATCAAACACGTAAATAAACTAAATAGTACTTATAAACCAGTTTGATTAGCTTATAAACTTAGCCTTACACCGTCGTAATAGATAATCTACCTTCTAATCATTTGATATTTTTGCTCTGTTGTTACTAGGTTGTTATTGACTTCACAGCTACATGGTGTGGTCCTTGCAAATACATGGAACCAATTCTTAATGACTTTGCTGCTAAATATATAGATGTTGAGTTTGTCAAGATTGATGTTGATGAATTGGATGTATGAATTACTTACCATCACATTCCTTTTCTAATTTTTTTTTTCATACTCATCAAGTTGAATTCTCATATGGTTATTCAACTAATAGTTATTATCTCAAACGTCACTTTTTTTGGTCGACAAAAATTGAAATCAAGAAAGAAAGGTGACATTTTGAGATAATAACTGTTAGTTGAGTGACCATCTTAGAAATCGACATCATACTCGTCTGATGTCTTGATTAATACTAATTTCTCAAATCTTGGTTGAATCGTTAACAGGACGTAGCTCAGGAATATGGAGTTCAAGCGATGCCAACGTTCGTGTTGATAAAGAAAGGGAAAGTTGTTGACAAGATTGTTGGGGCAGATAAAGATGGACTAAAGATGAAAATTGAGAAACACAAAGCTATGTTCATATAAGCAAATTAAACCAAAGTGTGCAACAAATGTTTGAGCAGAGTTGTAGAATAAAAATTCATATCTTTTATCACATTTTGATTGAAATAACTTTGCTTATGTAACTCATCTATGGTTCTTGCTCACTTATTATTGTAAACTTCATTAAAGAGGCTGATTAAAGCACTAATGTGTCACATTTATTTGGTTTGACCAAGTGTACTAATTCTATGTCTTGTGTACTTATAATGTCTTTTTCCAAATCCAACATGATATAGTCATATAGGCGCGAATCTAGAATTTGAACTTTATGATTTCGGAATACCACTAAACTTACTAACCATTTGCATTACTGGCTTCAATATTTTTTTTCTTCATGTTTAGTAGTTTGCTTAACACACAAACAAGGATTGAGCTAAAACTATTGAATTCACCTAAACTTGTAACACATACTCCATCCGTATCAATTTATTTATTTTGTTTTGTTTTGACATGAAATTTAAGAAAACAAGAATTGGGCTAAAACTATTGAATTCACCTAAACTTGTAACACATACTCCATCCGCTTCAATTTATTTATTTTGTTTTGTTTTGACATGAAATTTAAGAAAAATTAAATATATGTGGATGTACCAAAATGTAATTTAATTTGGTGGTCTTAAAGATGCCACGTGAAAAGATATATGAAAAGGCTTTTAAGTCCGTCGTACCCTTCAAATATTTTAGTATCCATTTTACTGCATCCCAATGTTCCTTTCTAGGATTAGAAAGAAATCTGCTAACAGTGTCAACGACATGTAGTCATACGGGCTTTGAGAGTTTTATTTAGGAAGAGAATTTGCGAGACACAAGTGTACACTGCCATTTGTGTGAACCTCTTTTTATTTTGAGTGAATTTCGTAAGGTTATTTCTTTCGATATTTTGTACTCTCTTTTATATAGTAGATTTCTCATCTCCTCTTATTGATATAGGTCGATTGACCAAATCACGTTAAAATATTGTGTCTCTTTTGGTGTCTAATTTATCATCTTTTAATGATTGCACTAGCTTCCACATGACACTTGATTATTTCAGTCCTTCCTACCTAAACCTTTAATTTGGATGAACTTTAAACAACATAGATGAAGGGGTTATTCCTTAGCACCCACAAATAAAATAGAGGAAAAAGAGAGACCACATTCCATCAACTTTAAATTCAATTAAATACTACTAATTAAAAAATGATTTACATAATATTTTTCATTGTAAGTATATTTTTCACTTTATTCAATGGATTCTCTTCACCAAAATTTGTTCTTTGACACTTTATTGCACACTATTTTCATTGCAAAATTCTCTCATGAATGTCTTCTAGATGCTTTTGTGTTTTGTGCACAAGTACAATTACATATTCTAACAAGACAACTTTGAAATTACCCCACTGGATTCATTTATCATATACTATTAATCTTTTTCTCATGCATGATAATAGTGTGAGTCTAAATTGTGAACTTCTAATTATGAATATATATATATTATATATTGAATGGTATGAATCACTTTATGTCTAACCGTTTAAATCGTTAAAAATATATTCTTTTATTTATTTAGGTCTTCAATATTTCTTAGCTTGTGTTAAAACACGAATTCTAAATTTTAAATTATGAATTCTTTTTACTATTGTTCCGAATTCACGATACACATCTAATTGTTCAATCAAAACACAATTTGGAGCTTGGTTTCTTGAGGTGGTACCATTTACTGAAATAATGTCAAAACATCAATTTTTCTAACCCAAATAAGCAAATTAATAATAGAATGTGTTTCGAACCTATTGGAATCATTAAATCACCAATTCACGATCGTGTTGACCAAATGTTTATCGCGGTCGACTCAAAATTTTCAAATGAACTAAATATCCAACCAATGATCCAAACCACTCCCAAGCACATCAAGACCCCTGCAAAACATTTGATGATGTCATGAATGTTGGGTATTTGCCGTGAGTTTTTTTTTACCATAAATATGTTTTCCTTTTCCGAAAAAGAAAACATAAAGTCTCTATACTTGGTTAGTACTTTTCTTATAGGAAAAGGTTTAAGACTCTATAAATAGAGACTCATTCCTTCTAACGACTTTATCAACATTCTCAATGTAGTCCGAGGAGTTTTGAGAGTTTTGTTTAGGGGGAGAATTTGTGGGACACAAGTTATCACTTGTGTGAACTCTTTTTATTACGAGTGAATTGTGTGAGGTTACTTCTCTCGATATTTTTGTACTCTCTTATTTATATAATTAATTGATCATCTCCTCTTGTAGACATAGATCGATTGACTGAACCAAGTTAAATATGTGTCTTTTAGTATATTTCTCAGTTGTCTTCTTACTCATGGTCTCTCGAGGTCTGCTTTGCTAGCTTCCGCATCACACCTAATTATTTCGGTCCTAACAATAAATTACCCTGCATTAGAAGTATTGGACCAAACCACCAATACCAAAAGCCAAAGCAAAATAGCATCAAATCTCTCTTTGTATAATATAATGGTCTACATAATTGAGGAACATATTCTGTTGTTTATATATTTGAAAAAGCAACACAGTTTAGTACATCAGCAACCAATATAAAAGGGGTCCAAACAAAACTCTGAATTCCAACATCAAGCAAAAGAAAATCCATCAAAAACCATAAGTTGAAGAGCAAAAATCTTTTACTCCAAAAAAAACTAAAAGAAAAAATGGGTGCTAACTACTCAACTACTTTGCATGAAGCTCATAATATGCCAAACACACCACAATTCAAGAGATCTCAAGTCATTGCTTTCCACTCTTCAACAAAATGGAAGCTCCATTTTGATTCTTTGAAAGATACAAACAAATTGGTAACCATTTTGCACAAGAACTAATTCTCTAATGATATTGTGTATGGTTTTTAACTTAGACTTTAAGTTATCTATATCGTCAGTATAAGAAATATTTACCCCATCAGATCACCTTTACCTGTTGTAGCAAGATTACAAACCCCACATTATAAGGAAACTTACATGTAGATATCCTTTAGGTGATCTGATGGTGTAAAATTCTCCACATTGAAGGTGTAAATAACTAAACTCCTTTAACTAATATATACAAATTGTGTTAAAAAAGGCTTATGTTATCATTCTATTTCAACATGTTATAGCAAGTAGCTTGTCTTATTTCACATCTAAATATGTAATTATCTTATAATGTAAACATATATTTTAAACTATTAGTATATAAAAGTTATACTCATTGTAAATTAAAGGGTACTCTAATCATTGGGTTCTTTTGCTATGTTGTTTCTAGGTTGTTATTGACTTCACAGCTACATGGTGTGGTCCTTGCAAATATATGGAGCCAGTTCTTAATGACTTTGCTGCTAAATATACAGATGTTGAGTTTGTCAAGATTGATGTTGATGAATTGAATGTATGAACTCTTAACATCACAATCCTTTTCTATTTTCTATATACTCATCGAGTTGATTTCTCATTTGACCACTCAACTAATAGTTATTATCTCAGAAAGTCACTTTGTTTTCTTTCTGAGATAATAATTATTAGTTGAGTGATCAACCATCTTAGAAATCAATATCATACTCATCTTAACATCTCAAATCTTCGTTGAATTGTATATAGGATGTGACTTTCTGAGATAATAACTATTAGTTGAGTGATCGACCGTATTAGAAATCAATATCATACTGTCTAACGTCTCAAGTCTTCGTTGAATTGTATACAGGATGTAGCTCAGGAATATGGGGTTCAATCGATGCCAACGTTCGTGTTGATGAGGAAAGGGAAGGTTGTTGACAAGATTGTGGGAGCAGATAAAGATGGACTAAAGATGAAAATTGAAAAACACAGAGCTATAAATTAAACCAAAGTGTGCAACAAATGTTTTAAGCAGAGTTTGCTGGAATGACGCTTCCCCTGTAGAATAAAACTTCTTATCTTTATCTCATTTTGATTGAAAGAACTTAGCACATTATTGTAAACTTCACATTCAAGAGGCTGATTAAAGCACTAATGTTACACATTTACTTGGTTTGAACAAGTGTATTAATTCTGAGTTTTGTGTTCTTATAATGTCTTTTTCCAAATCCAACATCCTATAGTCATACAGGCGAAACTAGAATTTAAACTTTATGAGTTAAGACGGTTCAAAATCGAATCAAAATCAATAATTCGAACCAAAAAGAAGTTATTGGTTTATCGATAATGGATTATTGATTTAGCGATTTTGATAACGGTTTTGATTTTTTTATTATCGGGTTATTGGTTGTAATTACCGATTTGAGGTTTTTTCTTAATGGTTAACTGATCGATAATCCAATAGTAAATTAATAAATTATATTTGTACCATTCAGTATATAAAGTTGTAGACTTAGGGGTCGTTTGGTTTGAATATGAGTTATGATGGGATAAGTTATGTTGGGATAAGTTATGTTGGGATTAGTTATGATGGGATAAGTTGTCCTGGGATTATTTCTTATTGAGTGTTTGGTTTGTTATATTCAAAATAATATATATTGATAAATTTTAAGAACAAGTTGTTTGTTTACAAAATTACCCTTCACTTTATTTAAACTTTTTAAATTTTTCTTTGTGAGCTTTAGTTATTCATTTTTTAAAATAAAACTTTTATTTTTTTTAACTTAAATATTTTTGTTTATGTATTCCCATGATAAGTACCATGTGTATTTAAAAATATAACTTTTTTCTTATTTAGCTTAAAAATAGAACTTTCCTCTTAAGTTTATTAAAGAGAAGAAAATTTATGAGAAATCAAAATAAAATAAACATAAGAATTAGTCAAATAAATTCATAAATAAAAATTATATTTATATAGTATAATTTTTTAATAGAAAAATATGTATAATTATCATAAAAATAAGGAGTAGTAAATATTATTATACATGGTATTAAAAAAAATGTAAATATACATAAATGTAAAAAATGATATATAAAAAGGATTTAAAGGGACATATTTGTCATTTACCTATTCTATCTCGGGATAAGTTATCCCGGGATTACTATACCACCCATGGGGAGGGATAACTTATCCCGGTACTAATTATTAATCCCGGGATAAGTTATCCCGGACTTGCCAACCAAACAACATAATTTTTTTTTTATCCCATCACTATTTCCTTATCCCATCACTATTATTTCTAATCCCTCACACCAAACGAGCCCTTAGGGTTTAGTTTCATCCTTTTATTTCAAACTGTCTCAAATTCTGGGTACTTGAGTGATTGTGGCTACGCCGTTGTGTTCAAGAATTTTTTTTATACAATATTGTTGTGCAACATTCTGAGATACACTTTGTCAACAAAAATGAGAAATACAACTTTTCCATTTTAAATGATATGATAAATAAATACAATAAATTACATGTAACACCTTTATGATTTGACTTATTTTAAGTCCGCTAGATATCAAAAGGAATTAAAATGAAAACAAGAATATCCTTGAGAAATGCAGCTTTAGAAGTTTCCCTTTTAATAATGAAAATGAAAATTGTATAATATGTAAAAAAAAATCATCACCTAATTTTTTACTTTTTTTAGATTGATCTCTTTATCTAGAATTTTAAAGCAATTCTGGAGAATATAAAAAACAACTATAATAGAGTGATTTAAGAAATAATTAGGAACATTGTTACGTAAGAGATGAGTAAAACTTTTCACTAAGAGTCCTCCATCACCATCTATAAGAACTTATTTGAAAACTCACATAAAATTAGATTTAGATATAATTATACAATTTTGACATATAATTACGATTATTCTAAAAGAGCGGTAAAAGTTCTCAGTATTTCTTCCATCATACACCTATTTGAGTAAATTTTATGGGGTTATTTTTTTTTAAATCTTTTAAAACTTTTTATGGGGTTATTTTTTTTGATCTTTCTAAACTCTCTTTTATATATAGTAAATTATTTTTTTTCTCTGTTAGATATATAGATCGATTGATCAAACTATGTTAGGATAGTATTATGTTTCTTTTGATATATTTCTTTTTTGTTATTTAATTTATTAATATACTAGCTTCCGCATGAAACCAAAATTACTTCGGTCCTTACGACATGAATATTTAATTTGGATGAACTTGAAACGACATAGATGGAAGAGTTATTCTTAGCACCCACAACTCAACTATAAGAAAAAGAGGAACCACATTCCCTCAACTTTGGTTCAATTAAATAAATGATTTACATGATATTTTTCATGACAAATATTTTTGTTGTACCTAAAGGACCACAGTGGAACAGATGTTAAGAAAGTGGCAGACTTCACTTTATAATTCAATTGGAAATATTCTCTTCACCAAAATTTGTTCCTTGGCAATTATGAGTTCATATATATATATATAGGGGTGTATAAAATCGAATCGAAAACTGAATCAAATTGCAAATTGAGTCAACTCGAAAAAAAATTTCGACTAGTGGTTTGGTTTGACTTGATTTGGTTTTGAAAAAAAAAACCCGACTATATTTGGTTTGGTTTGGTTTTAACTAAAAAAAACCAATCCGACATTATTTATATAATTTTAAAATTTTATTTTATACATAAAAATATTTACTTTGATATAATTTTTAAATATTTCTTATACTTTTTCATAGTTTTTATCTTTTAATATATTATTTCAAGTTTGAAACTTAGAATTATGAATGGGCCAATAAAGATTATAGTCCACAGATGTTGGTAATTATAATAAAACTTAAATCAAAATCAAATTAATATTAATGCAAAAAGAAAATCAATTCAATACTAAGAATGACAATAATATTGAATATTTGTTCTTTAGTTTTACATTGGTTTAGACAATTAAAATACATAATCTAATTTTAATTTCCTTTAATATTTAGTCATGTAACTAATACTTATTAAACTTAATTTTAACATGATTTAGTACTTTTAAATTATGATCATTTTCATTATGACTTGTTAATTTGCAATATTTGTTTTACGCGATTTCATTATTATTATTTTTGTTGGATATTTTAGTGTCATTAATCATATCATATTGTGTTATATTTTTAAGAAACATCTTAGATAGTTGTATTTTGGTAGGACTAAAGAAATATTTGAAGTACTAGTAAATTATATGTTTGTATGAATACTTTACTGGAAAAACCCGAAACAACCCGAAAAACCCGAGGTTGAAAAACTTGAGTTTTATTGGTTTGGTTTATAAATTTAAAAATCTGACACAAATAGTTTGGTTTGATATTTGAAAAACCTGAACCAACCCGGCCATGTACACCCCTATATATATATGAAGTTGTAATTGAATTGCACACTATTTTCATTGCAAAATTCTCTAGTGAAAATGTCTTCTAGATGCTTTTGTGTTTGTGCACAAGTACAATTACATATTCTAACAAGACAACTTTAAACAATTTATATATATAATTCTATGAATTTGTTTTATCTGAAAGTTTAAAACCGTTAAAGATATTCTTTTATTTATTTAGGTCCTCAATAATTCCTAGCTAGTGTTAAAAGACGGATTCAAGATCTTAAATTTATGAGTTTCAAATTTTAGAACATGCATAACAATTATTAACTTCATAATAGATTATTTCTACCTATTAAGGGAACTTTTAAAACACAATTACATATTTTGAACAGAAGTTATTGAATTATGTCGAGTTAGTAAGATACGGCGTAGATCCGCCCTTGGTTGTGTTTGGGTGCAAGGGACAAATTTACCTTAAAGTTACCAAAGTGTAAACCAAAGTGTGCAACAAATGTTTTAAGCAGAGTTTGCTGGAATGACACTTCCCCTGTAGAATAAAACTTCATATCTTTATCACATTTTGATTGAAAGAACTTAGCACATTATTGTAAACTTCACATTCAAGAGGCTGATTAAAGCACTAATGTTACACATTTACTTGGTTTGAACAAGTGTATTAATTCTGAGTTTTGTGTTCTTATAATGTCTTTTTCCAAATCCAACATCCTATGGTCACACAGGCGACTCTAGAATTTGAACTTTATGAGTTCAGACGGTTCAAAATCGAATCAAAATCGGTAATTTGAACCAAAAATAAGTTATTGATTTATCGATAATGGATTATTGATTTAACGATTTTGATAACAGTTTTGATTTTTTTATTATTGGGTTATTGGTTGTAATTACCGGTTTGAGGTTTTTTCTTAATGGTTAACTGATCAATAATCCAATAGTAAATTAATAAATTATATTTGTACCATTCGGTATATAAAGTTTTAGGCTTAGGGTTTAGTTTCATACTTTTATTTCTGACTGTCTCAAACTCTGGATTATTCTACAATATGTCACTATTTGCTTTGAGCAAGATGGGATCTGTCAACTGATCATATGCATGGTCATTTGATTTGTCACCTTGTTTCTAAGTGATTTTTAATGATTTTTTTGTGTGTCAAATCTTAATGGTTAAATCGATAACCGAACTGATAACGATCAATAATCGATAAATCAATACTCAATAAGTCAATATCTTATTGGTTCTATAACGGTTTAACATATCTACAAACAAATAACCGCTAAGTTAAACCGATAAAACTTCAAAACAGAACCAGAGCAATCGATACACAACCCTAGTTCAACATAACACTAATCTTACTAATCATTTGCATTATTGGGTTCGAAATTTAATATTGTTACATACTTAGTAGATTTTTTAACACAAAAACAAAATTTGAGTCAAAACTACTGAATTCATCTAAACTCATACTTCATACTTCATCCGCTTCAATTTATCTGTCTGGTTTTAATTAGATGTGTAATTTAAGAAAGTAAAAAATACTTTTAAATTTTAGTGTAAAACTAAAAATACGTAAAATGTATCAAAATACTTTTTAATCTATCTTGTGGTTTTAAAGATGCTACATCAAAAATTGAGATTAACGAGTTACCAAAAAAGAAAAAAAGAAATTCTTTTTTAAATGAGCTAATAAGAAAACTAAGATAGAAAAATTGAAATGAGAAAATCCTGATTCCTTACTCCTCCCCAGCTCCTCAAACCTCATAAATATAAAAGTTGTTCAAGACTTTTTTATACAATAATGATAAATAAATACAATAAATTATATGTAACACCTTTATGATTTGACTTATTTTAAGTCCGCTAAATATCAAAAGGAATTAAAATGAAAACGAGAATATGCTTGAGAAATGGAGCTTTAGAAGTTTCCCTTTTAATAAAGAAAATGAAAATTGTATATATAATATGTAAAAAGAAAATCTATCACCTAATTTTTTACTTTTTTAGATTGATCTTTTTTTCTAGAATGTTAAAGCAATTCTGGAGAATATAAAAAACAACTATAATAGAGTGATTTAAGAAATAATTAGGAACATTGTTACATAAGAGATGAGTAAAACTTTTCACTAGATTCCTTCATCACCATCTATAAAAACATATTTGAAAACTCACATATAATTAGATTTAGATATATGGATATAATTATACAATTTTGACATATAATTATGATTATTCTAAAAGAGCGGTAAAAGCTCTCGGTATTTCTTCCATCACCACCTATAAAAACATATTTGAATATTTTGAGTAAATTTTATGGGGTTATTTTTTTTGATTCTTTTAAACTCTCTTTTATATATAGTAAATTATTTTTTTTCTCTGTTAGATATATAGATTGATTGATCGAACTATGTTAAGATAGTATTATATTTCTTTTGGTATATTTCTTTTTTGTTATTTAATTTATTAATATAGTAGCTTTCACATGATACCAAAATTATTTCAGTACTTACAACATGAACCTTTAATTTGGATGAACTTGAAACGACATAGATGGAAGGGTTATTCTTAGCACCCACAACTCAAATATAAGAAAAAGAGGAACCACATTCCATCAACTTTGGTTCAATTTAATAAATGATTTACATGATATTTAAATATTTTTGTTGTACCTAAAGGACCACAATGGAACAGATGTTAAGAAAGTGGCAGACTTCACTTTATAATTCAATTGGAAATATTCTCTTCACCAAAATTTGTTCCTTCACAATTATGAGCAATATATATATATATATATGAAGTTGTAATTGAATTGCACACTATATATATGAAGTTGTAATTGAATTGCACACTATTTTCATTGCAAAATTCTCTAGTGAAAATGTCTTCTAGATGCTTTTGTGTTTGTGCACAAGTACAATTACATATTCTAACAAGACAACTTTAAACAATTATATATATATATATATATAAAGATCGTTTTATCTAAAAGTTAAACCGTTAAAGATATATTCTTTTTTTATTTAGATCCTCAATAATTCCTAATCCTAATTTGTGTTAAGAGACGGATTCATGGTTTTAAATTGATGGGTTTCAAATTTTAGGACATACATGACTACTTACTCGGTTCATAATAGATTATTTCTACCTATTAAATGAACTTTTAAAAAACAATTACATATTTTAAACAAAAGTTATTAAATTATATTGAATTAGTAAGACATGACGTAAATCCACCTCTTTTTTGTGTTTTGGTGCATCAAAAGGGCACAAAGGACAGATTTACTTTAAAGTTACCAAGTGTAATTGAACTCAGTATTTTTATACGACCAATCCATAGAAGGTTAGACCCGTTTGAGTTTTAATCCTAGATCCGCAACGAAAGTTATAAAAATCTCAATTTCCATTTTTTTAGCTATTTTAATTGGTGATTTTAGTTTCAGACTCAATGAATTTACTTTTTTAGGGCCATAATTTTGCATGATATATATAAGAATAGAATCTATCATTTTCTTGTATGCAATGCTATCCAGCTTTTCCCTTAACTAAAATTGAAGCTTTATGCTGTTTTTCATCCTGTAATCATATTCCTATTTTCAAAATAATATGAATCAATACTTTAGAGAACATTGTTTCTGTCACCAATAATAATATTCTAAAATAATACTACAATTGTTAATAGATATAATGTTCTTTTTCAAGTATTGGTTCCTATTATTTTCAGATATAAAATTACTAGATGAAGAATATAACTAATAAAGTAGCTGTATATACTAATAAACAACTTTTTCCCAGGTTGACATTATGGTAAAAAGAAAAAACTTACCTGTTCACCCAAAGTCAATACATGCCTGTCATGTCATGTGCTTGAATTACAGTGATGCAACGATGATTTTTATCAAGGAAACAAGATTTAAAATATTAAAAAGTAAATATACGAAAAAGTTGAACAAGATAACATCTACTATGTCTACATAAAAGATAATTGTAACTATGTATCAACAATATTTTCTACGAAATAGGGTTCAGATAAACCCCTTAAGTCCTTACTAGCTTCGCCCCTGCTTGAATAATATACTATTTTTACTTTATCAATTATTAATTAATCATTTAATCATAGTAAGTTATACTCCTATTTTAATTTGTTTGTCTACATATCTTTAGTTTAAGACAACAAATTCAAAAGTCTACTTAGCTTTTTTATACTCCGTACCAAGTTAAAATCAGCCAAATAAATTAAATAATTTCGACATCTTCCCGCCGTTATCTTCTTGGTGACCTCAATAGCGTAATATTATGTTATATTGTCAGCGTATAACATTTAAAACACATTAGAATAAAGTGATAATGACACTAAATTGGAAATATTGGACCAAAGGACCTTTACCAATTAAACAAAAAAGCAATTTAGCATCAAAATCTTTAATTTTTTTATATGAATAAAAAAAAATGTAATGGTCGACCTAATGAACATATTCTATACTCATTTATAAGTTATTTTTACATTTAAAGAAAGAAAAATTTGTACATCAGCAACCTCTATAAATAGGGTCTTTGCAAAACTCTAAGCTCCAACTTATCAAATATAAAAAATAACCTCTTAAAAACTAGAAGTTAAAAAAGAGGGAAATTTTTTTTTTTTAAATAACTTGAAGAAAAATGGGTGGTTATTACTACCCAACATGGCCTGAATTTAACAAGAAGCCAATCACACCACAAATCAAGGGGTCTCAAGTCATTGCTTTCCACTCTTCAACAAAATGGAAGCTCCATTTTGATTCTTTGAAAGATACAAACAAATTGGTAATGATCATTTTACACTATATATCACTCTATTGTAACATGTTGTAGAGCCCGTTTCGATTACCTGATGGTAAATAGTTGATAAGCTTTTTAAGGGTTGAAAATCATTTGAAAGTGTTTGAAACTGATTTTATAAATAAATAGTTAAGTATTTAGATAGAAGTGTTGAAACTGGTAACTATTTTGATTCTTTGAAAGATATAAGCAAATTCGTAATCATTTTCACACTATCACTCTATTTTAACAAATTGTAGAGCCTGTTTTGATTAGCTGATAGTAAATAGCTAATAAGCTTTAAGTGCTAAAAATCATTTTAAGTGTTTGAAATTGATTTTATAAATTAACAATTAAGTATTTGGATAGAAGTGCTCAAACTAGTATCTGTTTTGATTATTTGAAAGATACAAACAAATTGGTAATCATTTTTACACTATCACTATATTTTAACCTATTGTAGGGCCTGTTTTCATTAGCTAATGGTAAATAGCTGATAAGCTTAAAGTGCTGACGCTTGACAATCATTTTTAAATGTTGAAACTGATCTTATAAATAAATAGTTACGTATTTAGATAAAAGTGCAGAAACCGATAACCACTTTGGTTCTTTGAAAGATACAAACAAATTGTAAATTATTATATGGTACTAATCATTTGCCCTGTTTGATCTACTAGGTTGTTATTGACTTCACAGCTACATGGTGTGGTCCTTGCAAAAACATGGATCCAATTATCAATGACTTTGCTTCCAAATATACAGATGTTGAGTTTGTCAAGATTGATGTTGATGAATTAGTTGTACGACTTCTTTAACTTCACAATCCTTTTCTTTTTTTCGAGTTTAATTTCTATAAATTGACGTATTTACACAATCAGGTCCACTTATAAGATAATTACAAGCAAACCTCTATAATAAATGTCACAATGTTGTAAAAAATAATAATTTATAACGTCAGTGCATATATCTTAAATCATTTTCAATGATACTAATTGCTCGAATCTTGGACGATTGGAAACAGGATGTAGCTCTGGAATACGAGGTTCAAGCTATGCCAACGTTCGCGTTGATGAAGAGAGGGAAGGTTGTTGACAAGATTGTGGGAGCAGATAAAGATGGACTAAAGATGAAAATTGAGAAACACAAAGCTAGCTTATACTAAGCAAACCAAAGGGAAATACAAAGGAATGACACTTCCTGTGTTGAATAAAATACATGTCTTTGCGCGAATTTTCAATTGGATGATATTGATCGAGTGGTCTCAGTTATGATTTTTTAACTGATACAACTAGCTGTGTATTCATCTCAAGTTCTTGTTCAGTTCGGATTGTGAAATTTCGAAGAGGCTGACTAAAGCACTATTTTTTGTTACATTTATATTTGAATAAGAAAATGTCTATCTGTTTTTTGTGTTCATGTCTTTTCCATAAAAAGTATATTTGATTTGATCAATAAATGCAAGTAAAATACATGTAGTCAGAGCAACTTTGAGGTTTGACAAATACACAAAAGTTTGCAAGATGTCCACTCCCGAATGGGTCTGCAGTGCGCAATTCAAATTTAGTCGGAGTTCCAATGCAGGTTTTGAATACTAGGTGGGAAGCCAAAATAAAGAAAAAGTTTGCCAGATGTCAAACAGAATTACAAGGAGAATATGTAATTTGTTAATTGGAAGTAATTTTGTAACTGGTCTGCAGTGTGCAATTTAAATTTAGTTGGAGCTCCAATGCATGTTTTAAATACAAGGGGCACTACACCATTTTAGGCCTACGGCCTCACTAATTCTGGACAACGCTTGTAAAGTGTTGCCTAAAATATTTTTGGGGACGCTTTCAAAGTGTAGCCTAAGTTTTTAACTTTTAGCTACACTTTATATTGACAACATTTAAAAAGTGTACTCTTTAATGGTATAAGCTACACTTTATAAGTGTTGTTACAGTATGGTATAATTCACAACAACTATTAACATATATGGTGTAACATCTGACAATTTAAAATGAATATGAAGAAGCTTGAAATTGGAAGTAGTCATTTTTGGAAAAATTCAGAATTTGGAAATTTGGCTAAGTTCAGAATCTGGAAATTTGGCTAAATTCAGAATCTGGAAAATTTGGTTAAGTGTGGAAAAAAAAAGAGTTTTTGGTCAACTTCAAACAATCATAACTCCTGTCTCAGGATGAGTTAGGTGTATTTCCAGACATGTTTGGAAAGACCTTGGAATGACCTTTCCAACGCCACTGAGTTTGCTCGATTCCGAGTTCGTATGAGTGAGTTATGCCCTTTGGAAGTTGGGCAGTTGTCAGGGATTTCCGTCCGGAAAATTTTAAAGGTATTTTGGTCTTTTCCCTAATCAATTGTTTTGGTTATATTAAAGTGTTAGACTGATTTTAGATCAGTTTGTCTCATTTTTTAAAAGAGAAAAGAGCTAGGGCTTGGGAGAGAAGAGAGAAAGAAGAGAAGGAAGAGGAGAATGAGAAGAGCAATCAAGGAGATCATCGTGGATATCGTCGGGGGTGATCCCTACTAGGTATGTGAGTTCATAGTGATGGGTTGATTCTTTCCCCCACACACCAAACTCATTTTATTATTGAGAAAAGATTGGTTGTGTTGTTTGGAGTTGTTGGTTGTGTTGTTGATATTGTTAATTGTGTTGTTGAAGTCCCTTGTTGATTTTGGACATGATTTGGTTGTGTTTTTGAGTTGAATCTATTGTATGTAAGTTCATAGTGTTGGTTGGTTCATACCCCCACACGCCAACTCGTTTTTAATTCCAAGAAAAGATTTATTTTGGTTGTTGGAGTTGTTAGTTGTGTTGTTGAAGTTCTTGTTGATGAGGGATATGTTTCCAGTTGTGTTCTTGAGTTGAATCTATTGTATGTTGAGGGGTTTTAGGTTTCTAAGTGATTGGGGCTGAAACCATTGAAGTTGAGGGCTGGCGCGCCTGACAGAGTGCCCAGCAGGCCCCTTTAAAGTTGAGGGCTGGCGCCTGGCAGAGTGCCCAGCAGGCCCCTTTGAAGTTGAGGGCTGGAGCCTGACAGAGTGCCCAACAAGCCCCTCTGAAGTTTGAGGGCTGACGCCCCGCACCTCTTAGAGCGCCAAGGACGCCAATCCTTCCCGTTACCTTCATTCCACACTTTTTCATACATATTCCTTGGTAAAGTGCCTATGTTTTATAGTTGTTTCCAATACTTTAAGGTACATCTTAACATCCCAAACTCATCCATAACATGTGATCAAACACCTTGAATTCATAATCCGATTCAAGGAGAGTTAGTTTCCAAGTCAAGTGAAGTTAGAGCCAAGCTTAGAAGTTAAGTAAGTCAAAGCAAGTTTTTTTAAGTTGTTCAAGAGTCTTTGGTGAACGTTTTAACTTCATTTTTAAGACTCAAGTTTCAAGTCAAGTAAAAGGGTATAGAGTTTCAAGTCAAGTAAAGGGTATAGAGTTTCAAGCCAAGTGAAGAGTCTCAAGTTTCAAGTTAAGTCAAGAGCATAAAGTCGAGTCCATTTCTCCAAAGTTATTAGGGAACTATGTATTTCCCAAAGAAGTTTCTAAATGTTTTTACATTTAAGTAAGAAAGGAACATCGATTCCAAAAGAGCCTTTGGGCTAGATTTTGAGTAATTATCTCAAGTTAAAGAAAGATGTGTTTAAAGACAATTATGAGCCAAAGTATTTTTGGGAGTAGTATTGAGCACCGAATTGGGGACACGAGTTCATATTAACTCAACTCTCCATAAGAACCATGCGCCAACATGGGGTTTCTCGGGTCATACTTTTTAGATGATCACGAAAGTTAAGATAGAGGATCCACTTAGTAAAGTTAGCTTCCTATATCACGGCAAGTTATAGGATGGTCCTTGGGCAACGTGAGGTAAAACGTTGTATCATCACTAGGGCTCATAGTGGTGGTTGTCGGTTAAAGAATCTCCCACATAAGTTATATTACTTTTATACAAGTAAAGTTGAGTTGTTATTGTTTTATCATTAACAAGCTAAGTTGTTTATACTGTTTTACAAGCCTTATATATTGCATGTGTCTTATTGCTTTATATATTGAGTTCAGTTATTCATGAGTCGAACAGAGCCAAGGTAAGTGTTCTCTTTCTACTCTTTTCAAGCTTAAGTTGTGGTTTAGCTTTTCAACTCGCATACTCGTAAATTCCATGTACTGATGCCAGTTGGCCTGCATCTTATTATGATGCAGACGCAGGTACCCAGGATCAGCATCCAGTACGCTGTTGATCCAGCTGAGCACTCCAGAGTCAGTGGTGAGCCTCCTTGCATTCCGGAGGACTCAATTATTTTGTGTTCTTAGTTTTGTTTTATTAGGGTGTTGCGGGGTCTGTCCCAACATCCATCTCAGTATTTTAGAGGCTTCATAGATAGTTAGTCAGTTAGTTTTGAGTCTCTCATCTATGTATATATGTAAATATTCTATTTTGAGATTCGAGTTGCCTTTGTGGCCAGATTTTATAAGTTAAGTTGTTTTGTAACCTTGCATTTGCATTGAGTTATTCTGTTGGGTTAGGTTTCTGCTGAGTTAAGAAAGCCAGGCCAAGGGTTCGCTTGGGGCCATAAATGGTCTCCGGGTGCCGATCCCGCCCAGGGTGTAGGCTCGGGGCGTGACAAACTTGGTATGAGAGCACAAAGTTTATGAGTCCTAGGGAGTCTATGAAGCCGTGTCTGTAGAGTCCTAGTTATCGGTGTGAAGCGCTAGAGTTAGAGTTGATCTATAATTGGGAGGCTACAACATTTAGGAAGATTTCTCACTTCTTTCACACTCATTTCGTGCGTTAGAGTTGATCTCTAAAAAGTTTCTTTCTAATCCGTGCTTGCGCGTGTTTTAAGATAATCATGCCTCTACGAAGAGTTAGCAGAGGACGTCTTCCTAGACGTTATGTTGATGATCAAGAGTTACCTTATGCCCCGGGAGTGCAAGATCAAGGGGAAGTTTCTAATGCCGAGTTCAGAGAGGCAATTAGAATTCTGAGTCAAGCTCTAACTAATCAGATTGCTCAGCAAAGGGGAGCTCGACATGAAGGAGCTAACACTTCAAGGATTCGTGAGTTATTGGGGATGAATCCTCCGAGTTTCACGGGTTCGAGCACTACTGAGGATCCAGAAAACTTCATTGAGGAGTTGAAAAAGATTTTTGATGTGATGCATGTGTCAGATACTGAGTGAGTTGAACTAGCTGCGTATCAATTGAAGGTTGCTGCTAGAACTTGGTTCGATCAGTGGAAAGGGGGCAGAGTTGAGAATGCACCACCTGCGAGTTGGGTCTGTTTTGAGGAAGCTTTCTTGGGGCATTTCTTTCCTCGAGAATTGAAAGAGGCCAAGGTACGTGAGTTCCTCACACTTAAGCAGGATTCTTTGAGTGTTTATGAGTACAGTCTGAAGTTCACACAACTTGTCACGCCCCGAGCCTACACCCTGGGCGGGACCGGCACCTGGAGACCATTGCTGGCCCCAGGCGAACCCTTGGCCTGGCTTTCTTAACTCAGCGGAAACCTAACTCAACAGAATAACTCAGTGTCATGCAAAGACATAAACAACTTAACTAATGAAAATATGGCCCAAAGGGCAACTCGAGTCTCAAAATAGAATATTTACATATATATACATATACATGGATGAGAGACTCAAAACTAACTGACTGACTGACTGTCTGACTGTCTATTGAAGCCTCTAATATACTGAGATGGATGTGGGGACAGACCCCGCAACATCCTAATAGAACAAAACTAAGTACACAAAATAATTGAGTCCTCCGGAATGCAAGGAGGCTCACCACAGACTCTGGAGTGCTCGGCTGGATCAACGACGCACAGGATGCTGATCCGGGGTACCTATATCTGCATCATAAGACGATGCAGGCCAACTGGCATCAGTACATGGAATGTACGAATATGTGAGCTGGAAAAGCTGAACCACAACTTAAGCTTGAAAGGAGAACAGGAGATCACTTACCTTGACTCTGAACAACTCATATAAATAACTGGACTCAAAGTAAAGCAATAAGACGCAAGCCATACATAATAAGCTTGTAAAAGAATGTAAACAACTTAGATCGTTAAGGATAAAATGATAACAAACTCAACTTTTCTTTTATAAACATGATACAGCTTTTGTGGGAGGTTCTTTAACCGACAACCACCACTACGAGCCTTAGTGATGA